CCCCTTCTCCCCCCTCACACCCTTGGGATGCGGCGTTGCTCACCCGGTGCTTCTGCCGAGGGTCGAAGCCCCATTTTCATGGGGATTTTTGGCTTTTTCTTGGAATCCCAGAATCCCAACCTGCTTTGACTTGGAAAGAGTCTTCAAGCTCATCCATTTCCAACCCCCTACAAGGGCAGGGCCACCTCCCACCTTCCACCATTTCCCAAAACATCTCGTTTCCAAGCTAGTAACGGGGAAGTCCTGGGAAATCGGACTGAACCGATACCCCTCACTGAGGTCACCTTGGCTTTACCCGTGCCAGCCTCACCCTCCCTGGCTTTGTCACCTCTCCCCCGTGTCCTGGTGGCACCGTGATGACCTTTTCTGAGGGTCTTCCTCCTCCTCTTCCTCCCAGGACATCAGCTGCTCCATGACAACCAACAGCACAGCTGCCAGCCGACCCCCGGTCACCCTCCGGCTCGTGGTCCCCGCCAGCCAGTGCGGTTCCCTCATCGGGAAAGGAGGCTGCAAGATCAAAGAGATCCGAGAGGTGAGTCCTTCTTGGGCTTGTTTTGGGGTCGGGGGGGACCCCTAATCCTTCCAAAGTTTGCCCCCCTACCCATAGCTGTCACCCTGTGGAATCGTTCCAACTTGTTTTTAGAGCTCTTTGTATTTTTAGTGCTGGTGAAACTGAGACTCTGGGCACTTCCCAGCACTGGCTCTGGTGGTGAGATGCCTGCTCCCCCCCTTTCCCTGGGCTCTCCTGGTGCCCCCCCCTCCCACCTTTCCCACTCCCCTCCCCTACTTCCTTGGTCTTTTCCCATTTTTTTAGAAGGTGGGGAATGTCCTGCCAGGCCTGTGATGTCCTTGGTGATGCCACCAGGGCTTTCCCAACTCTACACTGAGGAGAAGGAGTTGGAAGGAATTAACTCCATCCAGCTCCACCAACTTCTGGTGTTGGAGGAAGAACCTGTGGCCTGGATCCTGCCTCGGGGGGGGCACCTCCCAAATTGCTTCCAACTAGGATTAAACTTTTTTGGGCATGGGGGACACACACATGTCCTTGGTGATGCCACCAGGACTCTCCCAAGTCTGGATTGAGGGAGAGGGAGGTGAACTCCATCCAGCTCCCCCAGCTTGTGATGTTGTGACCCACATCCTATCCCCTGGGGGGGCTACAAAATTGCTTCCAACTGGGATGAAACACTTTTGGGGAGTGGGGGGGGACACAGATGCCCTTGGTGATGCCACCAGGGTGCTCCCAATTCTGGATTGAGGAGAAGGAGTGGGAGGGATTAACTCCCGTCAAGCTCCACCAGCTTCTGTTGTTAAGAGATAACCTGTGGCCCAAATCTTACCTCTGGGGGGGCTCCCAAATTATTTCCAACTAGGATTAAACATTTTTGGGGAGTGGGGGGACATGGGGACACACACATGTCCTTGGTGATGCCACCAGGGTGCTCCCAACCCCAGACTGAGGAGGAGGAGTTAACTCCATCCAGCTCCACCAGCTTCTCTTCTTAAGAGGGAGAACTTGTGGCCCTGATCCTACCCCTGGGGGGGGCTCCCAAATGATTTCCCACATTTTGGGGCAAAGCAGGGGGGGGGGTCACACAGTTTTGTCCCCCTATAACCCACGGGGTTTGCTGTTGAGTGATCCCAGCCCTTCCCCTCGAGATGTGGTTTCTTGACCTCCCACCCCAGAGGTTTGTTGATCTCCCAACCCCCCCTGGGGTTATTTTTTGAGCTCCCAACCCCCCCTTAGGGATTTAACAGCCTATTTTTACCCCTTGGCAGAGCACGGGGGCACAGGTCCAGGTGGCAGGGGACATGTTGCCCAACTCCACTGAACGAGCCATCACCATCGCTGGGATCCCTCAGTCCATCATCGAGTGTGTCAAACAGATCTGTGTCGTCATGCTCGAGGTACAGCCCCCTCCTGTCCCCTTCCCCTCCTTTTCTGTCCCCTTCCCCTCCTTTTCTGTCCCCTCCCCCTCCCTGTGTTCCTATGTCATTCCCAAGGAGGCAGGAATTGGCCCCCAGGGGTTAAGGGCAGCTGGGGATTGTGGCCTCATCCAGGTGAGGTTTCAAGCCTTTGGAGCTGCTTCGTGGTGGCACTGGCAGTGTCACACTGCTGTCCCCAAGCTGCTCTGCTCCTCAGGGGGTGTCCTCTCTCAGCCCCCTGCCCGGTTTGGGGAAAAAACAGGGTTGTTTTGGTTCCTCCCAAATGGTTTTGGAAAGCAGAAGTGGAGCAGGGAGGGGGTGGGGGGTGCTGGTGGCACTTGGTGACCTTTGTCAGCAGGGGTGCTGGTGGCACTTGGTGGCAGACCTCTCCTCTCTGTCATCTGAAGTGCTGGGGGCTGGTGGCACTTAGTGACCTTTGTCACCAAGGGTGCTGGTGGCACTTGGTGGCAGATCCCTCTCTGTCACTGGGGATGGGAGGTCCTGGTGGCACTGGTGACTGCCCTGTCACCAGGGAGTGTGGGGTTGCTGGTGGCACTTGGTGACTTCTGTCATAAGGGGTGCTGGTGGCAGGGGGTGGCTGCCCTGTCACCAGGGGGTGATGGGTGCTGGTGGCAGGGGGTGGCTGCCCTGTCACCAGGGGGTGATGGGTGCTGGTGGCAGGGGGTGGCTGCCCTGTCACCAGGGGGTGATGGGTGCTGGTGGCAGGGGGTGGCTGCCCTGTCACCAGGGGGTGATGGGTGCTGGTGGCAGGGGGTGGCTGCCCTGTCACCAGGGGGTGG